ATTATTCTCAGCAAACTAAAAATTTTGTTCCACATATTTTAAAAATTCCTTTGTATTAATAAGCTGATTCAGATGAATAGGAACTTAAGTGCTGCATAAAAAAAACTGTTATAAAGATGACTACAGTCGAAAGCTACGTGATTAATTCCTTTACATTGAAGCCTGAATCTTTTCAGGCCAATATAAACAAAACAACAAAGAGAAATCAAACCAGAAGCAAATCATTACTGCTGTATTCACTCGTACCAGATTTATGCTCTTGGTCCTCCTCATCGGAGTGCTGGGCCCTTTCGTCATCATCCGAGTTCTGCATCTTTTCCTCATCAGAAGGCTGGGCCCTTTCATCGTCATCTGAGTTCTGCATCTTCTCCTCATCTGAGGCCTGCGGCCTCTCCTCATCATCGGAATTCTGCATTTTCTCCTCATCTGAGTTCTGGAGTCTTTCCTCATCATCAGATATCTGTGGCCTTTCATCTTCATCAGAGTTCTGCACTTTTTCCTCATCATCAGAGTTCTGCTGTCTCTCTTCATCATCAGAGTTCTGCTGTCTCTCCTCATCATCTGACTGATCGCTTTTGTCCTCCTTGCCCCACTTCTCATCCTCTGAATGTGCTTTTTCAGAACCATCTCCCTCTGAATGATGACTGCCTTCATCTGACCCATGCCCGTGATCATCCTCCTCATCGTCATGAGCAGCTTCTGAAACACTGTGCTGGTCCATGTCTGACTGATCATTATCTTCATGCTCAGAATGTCCTGAAGCTTCAGAGCGATTGTAGGATCTTTCAGAGTGGTTGTCACTCCCCGTGTGATGGGATGCCCCTTCATCCTCACTATCGTCTCCAAATAACTCCTTATTACTAGGTTTTATTGCCTCTCTGTCATCATCCTGGTCACTGTCGCTTCCAGAAGCATTACTACCAGAGCCAGCATTCTCCTGATCGGAATCAGATTCAGATCCGGAATCAGAATCTACAAAACAAACGTCACACTTTCAAGAGTTAAAATGTCCCTATAAGAATGCATGTAAGACGATGGGCATTGCTTTAAAAAAAAAAACAACAAAAAAACCAACCCACAACCAAAAACCAAACCCACCCCCAAAACCCACAGAGAAAACCTACAAAGAGCTGTAAGAAAGAACTATAAAAGTTACCTAGAACAATAAAATAAAATGTCTACTAATAAAGGCACAGCCAATGAAAGACACATTGAAAAATGATGGATGCCACAAAAAGTTTCAAACCACAAGGTATTATCTAAGATTCTAAAGTTGTAGAAAGAATAAGCAGTTACACAAAAGTAAATAAAATAAAATTTAACGTAGTGCAGGCTTAAAATAGGTAAACACATACACATGGCTTATGAGATCCTACAAATCTAAAACTGTCACCATGTCTTTAATCCAAGTTAGCTGTCTTATGTACCCTGACACGTTTGTTACAACGGAGCTACTCCTGAATGCTGGGGTTGGTGAATGCCGTTTCAAGCAGGAAAAGAAAAAGGAACATCTGCCATGGAAAATAATTTGCAGCCACTGAGACAAGCACTTTAAAAACACGCAAATGACTTAAATCGGGAGGCGTCCCATCGTTCTCCACCAACCGAAATCCAAACAGCTCTAAGCAAGCACACGACGAAGCGTCACCAAATTCAGAAGTACGCTTTGCTTTTGTTTCCCGTCACGAGTTTTCCATGGCCGCGGGGACGGAAGGCAGCCGCTACAAACCGCTTTTCCGCGGAACGCCGGCTGCCAGGCCAGGGCCTTCTGCTTCAGCGCACGGAAACGGACGCCCCCCCCGTCCCCCGTGGGCATTCCGAACCGCGGGGCAGCTGCACCGGCGCCGTTCGCTTTGCTTTTCGGCCAGGGAAGCGGGGCTGCGAAGGAGGCCCGGGGCAGCGCCCGC